AGGAGATGACACTGCTATTGTCCCCATCTTACAAGTGAGCAAACAGAACACATTAGCCCAGGTACAACATTTTCTTTAAAAAGTCTCTTTCTAGATACCAGTAAATGACAAATTCAGAGCAACATAAAATTAGAAGGGAAATTAACTGATTTTGCTGCTAGTCTATAGTAAAAATATCAGAACTGACTGACTCAGGACATTCAAAGAATGAAAAATACTCAAGGCAGTAACAATTACAATAAAGAGGGTGCAGAGCCCTCCCATCCTGAGGAAATCTGTAATTCCACACTCATGTCTAATATACTTTTCCTCACTATGTACTCATCCACCTTTACAAGGGACACTTTGAGCTGCCGGGAAGGCCAATAATAATATTTTGAGATCTGTGAATGTTCGTGTATCGTAAGACCATTTAATTCATTTTCCAATATATTTGATTTTCATCTTCAGTTTAAGAATATGAATCTTACAAACTAGAATTTATGATGGATATGGTTATTATTAATGTATTCAGCACTTCCTATGTGGCCAGCACTGTGATGTCTTACATACACTTTTTTTCTTTTAATTATCAAACCACCTAGGGATGCAGGCACTATTATCAACACCCTCTTTGAGAAATGAGTCTGCAGGTGACGAATTTTCTTCCCAAGATTCCTATTAAAAGGTAACACCAAGATTCAAATCCAGATCTGGCCCAGAGCACTGTACCTTTAACCACTAAGCTTTATAAAGTGATTTGTTCTTGTTGTTTATTACCATTAACCAAACATTGGCCAGAAAACTATATTAAGCTTAGCTCTTATTTACAAGTATTTCATTTCCAGTACTCCCCATATTCATGCATTTTTATTTATTTCTCCCTACTCCCACAAAAACACCTAAAAATTATCTATCCACCTAGTCATAAGACAATCTTCACTGAAGTGTGCCTAATTAAAGAGATAACATAATTAGTGCTCTTCCTTTTAATCAGTGATGTCTGATGGCCTAATTTAGTGGCTAGTTCTGCAGCTCGGGCAAGCAGCAGTAAATGATCCCAGTTGTGCCCAGTATTTTTAAAACGCGACATGGTTTTTGAAGTCGTTAACAGCAATATCCTAAAAGCCCAGCAGATGTCAACCTCAATTCATGAAAATAGGACATTCCCCTGCTTTTAACACTTCCTTCTATGATGAAACTCAAGGGGTTCAGAACTTTGAAAGTACCCATGCTTCTAAAGTTTATGTGGGAAGACATCATTGTATTGTACACACATATGCTTTTCAACATAAAAAGTATAACAGTAAGATGTAAACAACCACAGAAAAAGAAAAACAAGAGTTAAAAGATACAGATTCCATGTTTGCCTCTCAGCACTCCAAACACTAGAACTGTGTGGGATTCTTCTGACCTATTTCTCTTCCACCTCTTCCAGACTTCCCCTTATGCCTCTCCTCCCTCTTTGCATATCATAACTCTCATTTCACCGACTTAAATGAATCAATGCTGTGATCTCACATGAAGCACAAAATCTAAATTTTGAAGATCAATATTAAATCAATTAAAAACAATTTTTCTTTAGAATTAACAGTGCTGTTCATGGTATCCATCCCAAGACTGGCTATACCAATCAAAAAATCTAAACTAAACTTGAAAAAATAAGTTATCATTTATAAAACTGTTGACTAATAAAATTGATAGTCTTCATTTAGATTTGAACCAAAATTCCAGCTACTCTGTAAGGCTGTTCCAAAGTAGTTATTGGGCCCTCAAAAAAAGAAGGAGAAAAGAAAAACTAGTGATTTTTCCTTAACTTTTTAGCCTGGTGATTTTATTTGTATCAATGCTTTAGAGAGTGGATGATAACCCAAGAATAGCATTTCATTTCTGTGACCACTACTGCACTCCCCAGGTTTTAACCTCACTGAATTTTTGGTCCATTGCGTAGAAGAATTTCTCTACTAATAAAAATACAACCCATTAAAGATTAACTTGCCCCCTGGACACTCTCTCTGGAAACAAATTCCAAGCATTATAATCACCAATTTGCACTGTGTAGAATTAAAGGCAGATAATCTTACTTATCCTGATTCGAACTGGAAACCTGCACACAGTTTAAGCAACTGTAAAAAGAAAAATGGCAAATCCAGATTCACAATAATCAGAAACCCAACCAAATGCAGACTTAACTTACTTGGCACTTTTCAAATCAAAGGGTTTTTTTCACTCAAGAATACTTAACAATATTAGAATATTTGTTGACTAGCTCAATGTCTTACCTTGATATCTCTTTTACTTCCACAATTATGAAATCACTAAATTTCTCTGTTCCCTTTATTTAAGTATATGTTATATGTCAGAAATTGGCATAGGCACTAGAAATCTTTTGAATCCATGTTGTAATACTTATTATTAATATTGATAAGCAACTGATATATATTAAGCTCTTATCAGTGTGGCAAGTGTTGGCTTATTGGGCATTATCTCTTTTAACACTCACAAAATCCTAAGGGCAGACTGAAACAGAGGCAGAGGAGCTGCCTCAATGTCCTGCAGGGATTTATCTGAAGCTGGGTCTGTGTGACCCCAGTGCCTGCACTTGGTATCACCATCTGGTATAAGGTGGTAAGGCACCATTGTGTCTGGTTCAGAAAACTAGTCTTATTTCTTCCAACATGGTGGTTCTACGTAATCTTACACTGGAACTATGCATCACAAAATGCCTTGTGACACTCTGCACCAGGTTCTATTGTCAAACGGGTTCAAAATGTACTTTCTTAGAAGGCATAATTCACTTGTTGATAATTTTGGAAAGTTAAAGCACTATGCTCAACCCTTGAAGAATTCTTTGGGGTTAAAGTGTGAAGACTTTTATTATATATTGGCTAATGAAGAAATGTTACCTCTGTTAGGACTTTCTGTAAATAAAAACTTACCACTGCAAAACAATATTAAACCATCTCATGTCAGAATACCATATCTACACATGGGAGAGCTTTCAAATTTAAAAAAACTTCACCCATATTTCATTTCATTCTAATTGAAAATTAAGTCCTGGCTGGCATAGCTCAGTGGATTGAGCGCAGGCTGTGAACCGAAGTGTCGTAGGTTTGATTCCCAGTCAGGGTATGTGCCTGGGTTGCAGGCCATGACCCCCAGCAACCACACATGATGTTTCTCTCTCTCTCTCTTTCTCCCTACCTTCCCTCTCTAAAAATAAATAAAATCTTAAAAAAAAAAAAAGAAAATTACGTATTTTAAAAAAGAAATCCACTTCTAAAGCTCAAGTTATGTGTGAGGGCTTCCTAGAAGCTAACATCACTGTCGTTATTTGCATGTGCATGGGTAAAACAGATTAGGAAGACATATTACTATTGGAAGATCCACCAACTCCAGATTTACGGAGAAAAGAAACTGGAAACTTGTTGAAAAGGCAGGTATGTGGCATAGCAGTTAAATCCAATCTCTCAACAATATTTTTCTGAATAAATGTAGCATTTTGTTGCATAACCAGACACTAGACAAAAAGAATCATAAAACAAATGAAATAACTAAAATGGGTTATCAAAATGCAACTGGGGCTTTAATTTCCAAATCTACTTTGAAATATTCTTACTTGAACAGTTTATCACAGAAGTAACTCTCCTAAAAAGCCACATAATTTAAGGGGGAAAAGAGAGGAAGAAAGAGAGACATGACAAGCACTAGGGATATTTATCAATAAAAATAAGCAACAAGGGAGATGAATTTGTAGCTTATCCAAAAACGCCTGCCAAACACTCCTGCTATTTGTTTCCACCAAGTTATTGTTTTGGAAAACATGTTGTTCTCTCTTAAAATAACCTGCTTAAATGTTCTAAAAAGCCACTGCATTTCCAGAGGCTAAATAGCTCCCATATTGCGATGCATTGACTGATAAAGTCAAAGTAAGTTATGCATAAAGCCACACACAAAAAAAAGTTGGAAGGCTCCAATGCTCCCTTGTTATAAGGACACTAGCTACTGAATGAATCTACTATTCGCCCTGCGTGAAACTAACGCCTGGTCCTCTGCAGTACTTTAAAAATGACAGTCATTCGAAATAGTTTATTTCTCTGGATGAAGGAAATAAACCACGTCTAACATCTTCCTAGTTAAGCTAGTAATTAACATTTTAAGGAAGGGCAAAATGACCTTGGACATTTTAGCGTTCACTTGGAGAACTCCAATTCTCCCATTTGTTTTCAGTCCGATATGGTTAAAGCTGTTGTGCCTGGGAAAGTCCCAAAGAAACTAGAAAGTTAAAAAAAAAAAAATCCCAAATTGTGAAAGACATAGTCAGACACCCATAGTACTGGAAGATTTTTATGAACTTATTGCAACTCATGATGTGTTTTATAGGCCTGTCAGGAGATGAACACATATTGTCCTCCAACCCAGAAGCAATGCCCTGACACAATCACCAGCTTTGGATGCTCACCCCCATCCTGGCCCCTCTGGCTCCAGGGTGGAGTATAGTGGGAGGAACTCCTGTCTTAAGCCTTGACATCTGCAGAGAGTTTTCCAATAGCCAGACAAGGCCCCTCAGCTGGAGGAAGTGGATACTGACAAGAGGAAAGAGAAACAGAGAGAAAGACAGAGCTAGAATTCAAGGCTCCAAGCGAGTGGGGAGAGTCGCACATACTCTGTGCAGTCCAAGTGGGTTCGGATGGCACAGCCCAGGTGTCCGCACTAAGGCTGGCATCTCCAAAGTCCAGTACGCAACTTGGGCGCGCCGTTACAAACTCGGCCTTAAGCTTTTCTGGAACCGGCAAGTTAGCACAGTGTCCCCGGTGCCTAGAGACCTGAGAGGCGTGGAAGGGGTGGAGAGTCCCGCTAGATCTCCACTCCATGGGTGTCCCCCGGCTCCACACGGAAGGGAACCAGGGAACTAAGTCGGCTGTGGGCCGGAGTGGCGGACGCTGGGGCGCGGGACGATGATGTCCGGAAAGGAGCTGGGGACGCAATAGGGGAGTCCGAGAACGCGGGGGGATGCCTACCTTGTAACATGGCCTCAAGTTTCTTCCTGTCCACGCGGAAGCGCTCCTCGCTCCACTCTGGGCTGTGCAGGGGCGCCCCGGCGACAAGGTCGTCCTCTGAGCCAGGCATGGGCGAGTCGGTACTGCGTTCGCTGTTGGAACCGGGGTCCGACTGCGCCGCCAGGTAGCCGGGCTCGCCCTGGGCGGCCATGGTGGGCGTGCGGTGATCGGGCTCCCGCTGCAGCCGCCGCTGTGCCTCCGCCGCCTCCGCTTGCCGGCCGGGCTTGTCTAGCTCCCCGCTCCGCGGCGCTACCTCGTCCGCCCGCAACCGCTGTTGCCGCCGCCAACACCACCGCCACGGAGTCCCCGGCGCATCCCAGCCCTGGGCGCCGCCCACACTGCCAGCCGCCCCGGGTCCAGTCCTCGGTCCTGGGCCAGTGGCTGCACCGCCCCCAGCCAGCAACGCCCGCGCGAAATGAGCGCGCCGCACCGCCCGCGCATCCATCCGCTGGGCTCCGGGGCTCCCTCCCCGCCCGCCGCCTCTCCAGCCCTGCGCTCATTGGCCGGGCAGGCCCACGGGGAGCCCCGGCAGGCGGGCGGGCCGGCAGACGCGCGCGGGCGGGCGGCCCCTGGCGCTTGCAAACACTCGCGCGCACTTACTCACCACGTACACACTACCTCTTTTCTGCATTTAAACGTACACATCTTGTCCCATGCACATACTTTCATAGTTCAAACACACTCTCCAAGTTCAAGCCCAGCACCCTCCTGAACACACATTCAGTGCACACACAATTTCCTTTCTACCTACACACAACACACTATACCCTAAAATCCACAACCCCAATCCATCCCACAAGTTGGAAACTGGAGGGAAAACAGAGAAGGGCTGCGAAAAGAACAATGTCCATCTCTTACAGACATCACTTGTGGTCATTGCTCCCGTGCAGTTCATACCTCCACTGACAGTTCAAACTCAGATCTCTCCTCTCACTCCTCCCAGCAAGCTAGCCAGATGCACAAGAGGTGGACAAAAGGCTTACTCTTTTTTTATTGCGAGGAAAGGGAGGGTTTTTTTTTTTTTTCTTGAATGAGGTGTGGATGGAGTAATTTTCTATGTGATTCTCAAGGAACGGATTCAGCTAATTAAAAGGGGGGAGGGGCGCTCTGAGATTACAATGGTGATTAGCTGGATCCAGGGCTGTCTTGTCAGGCACTGAGGCCTCTTCTGTGTTCCCAAGATCAGTGTCTCACAGATTATTACCAGCAAATGAATCTCCGACCCTACCTGCCCTGGCCAGCCCACCCACTGCCATGGACTTGAAGCACCAGGAGAGAAGAAACTCGTTTGCACTAGGAATACCCTTGGAATTCTGCTTTCCCAGTTCACACTGATCCATACCTTCTTTTGTTTTGTGACTCAAAGCACAAAGATCTTCCTTTTTTTGAAGAGGGGTAGTTCACTGTACCACAGAGGGAGGCTTACATGAGGAGCAAGCCATATCACTGGCATGGTCTGTGGACAATCAGGTACCATGCTTAAAGTTAATTGCAATTCTTACAGGTTCATTTGCTTAATTAACAATTGACTCTGCCTGGGTACCATGGAATAACTGACAGATGAGAAAACTGGGACTGTGGGAAGTCAAAAGACATGACTAAGGTCACGCAGATGCATATAACAAAGCCAAGAATGAAACCCATGTGTGTACTTGACAAATAACCTTTACAAAGTCCTGCCTCATTGAGCAGAGAACCCTTCTACTTGGTCGCCTGCTAAAGAAGTGGGAGCAGAAGTACCAGTTAACTGCTTGGTTTGCCATCATGCATTCCTTCTCTGGATGTATTAATTATTGTGCAAAGCACTAATTTAAGCACCAAAAGAGTCATCAAGGAGACTGCACCAGGTATATTTACCATCTTTTCTGGCAACAAGTATTTTATGGGAACATACTTTGTGCTGGCACTGTTTAGACCTAAAGAATCATGACCTAAAGCAAACACCATTCCATTCCCACAGCTGACATTCTAATGAGGAAGATAGAATGTTGAGCAAAAATAAATGAATAAAGCACTCAGGAAAATATTGTATTGTACCCATAGTAGGCATTAAAAATAAAAGACTCAAGATACTAGAACTCCTATCATGGAGTAATTGGATTTTGTCGGAGAGGTCAATGGAGGCTCCTCAAAGACAGTGACTCTAGAGCTGAGAATGGAAATTTGAAAAGAAATTAACTGGGCAAGAAAGGGGAGGGAAGAGCCTTTCCTGCAAATGATTATTCAATAATAAGAATATCCCTGAAGGTAGACATTACAATTATCCTTGTTTATCAGTTGAGGAAACTGAGGCACAGGAGGTAAAATAACTTACCCAAGTTTGCACAACTAAGTTGTAGAATCAAGTTGTGAACCCAGGCAGTCTTCCTTGGATATTAGACTTTAGGTGCTCTGTACTTTGCTACTAATCGATATTGTCTCTTACCAGGGTCAGCATAAGCAAAGATTCTGTGGTTGGAAAAGGAATCATGTATTCTTCCATAGAAGAACTAAAAGAAGACCACCTTAAGCTGGTAAAAGAAAACAAAGAATTAGATGGTACTAAGTACAGCAGGAGAGATAAGAAAGGAATAGAGCATGTAAGCCAAGTTAAGGAGTTTGTATCTTTGTCCTTAGAACAAAAAGAAGCCATGTAGAGACTTTAAATAAAGGATGGGGTAGTTAGATTTGCATTTTTAAAAAAATGACTGTGGCTGTCATACAGAGAGCAGATTGAGGGATGAGGATAAAAGCAATTAAACCAATTAAGAGACTGTCTAGAAAGTTTAGGTAACATGCTCATAGCTTACCTAGAATCGTGATGATGGAGACATATAAAAGGATTTGAGAAATATTTTGATGGTATATCTCCAATTGGATTGGTGACAGACTCAGTACAGGGTGATGAAGAGGTAAATGTCAAGAATGGCTCTAAGGTCCTGGCTAGCATAATTGGAGGGAGATAGGAAACATTGGAAGAGGACTTACTATATATTGGAGGAAAGATGAACTTGAATTAGGTATACTGAGTTTGAGGTGCCATTGAGACCCCCAAGAAGTAGGTAAACAATTGGATAAAAAGGTCTGGAGTTCAGAAAAAGAGATCTTGGCTGGAGATTCGAATGTGTTGTTTGTCGGGGGTCATGCTAACCATATGTGTGGGTAGGGCTGTCTAGGAAAATAAAAGAGAATTAGAAGAAAAAAGAATCAAGGAAAGAGCCTTTCACAAATTCCAATAGTAGATAACAGTATAATGGGAAAGAAGATGGAATTAGTGAGAGAAGAAAACACAAAACAAAGTTTTGTCATGTACACCCAAGAAAACAACTATTTCAAAAAAGGGGAAGGGTGATTATCTTTGTATAATAAGGGAGGTCGAAACATTTTGATGGGTGTCACTGGGTATCTTAGCAAGAAGGCCAGAACAGGGTGGTGAGAGACAGACAACAGCTAATGAAATGAGGAGTAAAGACAACAATCTGGAAGAAGATTGCCTGAAAAGAGGAGGAGGGAGCAATAGCTGGAGGATAATATGGGCAGAGGAAGAGCTCTTCATTGTTTATTGGGCTGGTTGGCTAGTAGCTTTGGTAACTGAGATAACGGGTGAGAATAGAGCACTGGAAATGATCCAGTTAACAAAAATTAAATATATAAGAAAAGAAATGGGAAGGATCACTATTACAGGGCTTTGAGAGCATAAACAAGTAGAGGAGAAACAGATGGGTATAAATGTAGGTCAGTGTACAAGTTTCATTTCTACATTACAAGGGAATCCCATCCGATGGCTTTTATTTTTCCCAAAAGAGTAAAAGTTAAAGTTATCTGTTCAAAGTGTATAAGAAGAAGAGCTGCCAGAGTTTTGAGGGGAGTAGAAAGGTTTTGTTTGTGTTTGTTTGTTTACAGTTTTAAAAGTAGCTTTGCATCTGTAAAAGGGTGAATCGGTACTATTGAGAGTCCAGTCAATGTTGGTAGCTATGCATTTGTGATAGGCCCGGCCTGTTTGCCCTGACTCCCTCCACCAGCACTGAGCTTCGTGTGTGCAGGCACGGAGAAAACATAGGGGTCCTGCCAAATGGGTGAAACACCAGGTGCTAGAAGGCAATGGAGCAGTGCATGATGGGAAATAATTTCTTACACAGAACTATACCCAGTACAACTATCAATCAAACCGGAGGACAAATTCATTCCTAGGGATACTCTACCTGAGCCAGCTACTGAAGACTGTGTACCCGCCCCTAAACAAGGAAGTAAACCAAGAGAAAGAGAAAAACATGGAACACAGAAAACCAGAGATCCAGCACACGAAAAGGGTCAAGGTGTTCCTTGGGATGATGGGGAGAGGAGAACAAAAATTGGAATAGATCAGAAGTCTCAGGGTAGAGGTTTCTTCTAGATTAAATAGATAGAATTCATGAAGAGTTCAAACATTCTGAGGAGATTAAGACTGTTGGTGGTGTGAGGGAGGTGGGGAGGGCTGGGGGACGGTCTGGGATGGGAGTAAAAGGCAGAAAACTATACTTGAACAACAATTAAAATTTTTTAAAAAGTCTGTTGGTGGTGACTTTAGAGATAAATTCAAGATTGGTTTGTAGCAAACTATGGTACAAATATACAGACAGTTAATAATTCCAAATATTAAAAAAACTATGCAGCACAACTTGGAATATGCCACATGGCTGAGCTGTAACTAGTATGTGTGTAGCTGTAATAATGTAAACCATGAATGCTGATTGAAACTATATTGGAAACATAACTAGATTAGGAATTTGGGGGACTGGAAAGTGTGCATGTGTGTAGTGGGGGCTTTGCAGGGGGCAGTGGTGGGAAGTGACGCCTCATCTGCTTTAGAGTAACATCAACAGATAGCGACTAAAACTTTTTAAAAACCCAGACGGGGCAATACAAGCATGTTATCTGAAGATATGGAGGTAAAAACAAAATCAAGCTAAACGAGTTGAAAGTTGTTGCCTATAGAAAATGGGAAATGGGGGGAAGGCTTACAGTACTTCTGGTTGTCACACAAGTCTTCTAGAATAATTTGATTCTTTAAACCATATGGCAACATAACTTTTAGAAGAGTTAATGAAGGAACAATTTTTTAATATAATTATAGAAATGATAAATAATAGAACCTTGAATTCATAACTTCTGAGTCCTGTGCTCTTTCTACAAACACTGAATCACAGTTGGCATACTTGATGATATTTTTGTTTTCATAAAGCATATTTGCTTTATTTGTCTTTATCTGCCAATATCACTTAAGAAAAAAAATAATGTTCAATTTATTCAAAGTATAGAAACAGATCAGATGTCAGGTGGGTAGAACTGTGGATAGATACATTTCTATGGAGTAAATTACATTAAATCTTCAAGTTCATAAAATATAAAAATCCACGAGATTTAAAAAAAACAAGAACCATTCTCTTATATTTACTTTTAAAATATATGTCTAAATTTGATTAGTGGTCATCTG